ATGGAGCCCGGGGGTGGCTTTGCACTGGTAGAAGGCCATAGCCTCACCCTCTGGGTCATCGTGTCTCATTGGAGGCTGAGAGTGTGCAGTGGCCTCCAGAGGCCTCTGCAATTCAGGGCCAGCTCTCGGGCCGCCTGGAGTTAAATGTTTCCCAAGAGCCTGCTAGCTGCAGGCCTGTGGGGGGTGCTGGGGGTACACCGCTGGACAAAATCCAACCCGGTCCCAGGCTTACAGCTGGGAAGACCAACACTGCCACATCTCCCCGGCTACGAGTCTGTGGTGCCGTGAGAGTGCACCGAGGGGGAGCGGACCTATTCCAGGCATCGGGGCCCAAGGCTATGATGCACAGCTGAGAGCAGAAAGCTGAGTAAACAGGCAAAGAGGGGAGTGGTGTCAGGTGGGATTGTGTTCCAAGCAGCAGGAATAGTATATGCAAAGGCCCTGTGGCAGAAGGAAATGTAAGAAACTCAAGGAACTAAATGAAGCTATGCAGCTGGAGCCCAGAGCTAAGAGGACAGTGGTACAAGGGCGGAGAGGGGGGGGAGCGGGTAAAGGAGGCCATGGGAGTTCTTGTCCCTTTAAAAAGGTGATTCCAGGTACGACTCAGGAGAGATGAGGTGTCCATCAACATGTGTGCTCTTCCCAATTTCTCTCTGGCTTTCGGGAGCCTCGGCCCCGAACCACCCCCAGAGGCTTGAACCAGAGGAAGACTCAGGGGAACCCTGTCTGGGGATCTTATGGAGCCAACCCAGGAATCCCTCAAGAACAAGAAAGAGAATCCTGGAGACTGAAGGCAGATGGTGGTGGGTACAGGTCAGAGCAGCCAGGCCATCCATGACCCATGGTGGGGGAGAGGGGTCATGAGTCACCAGTGGCCTCACGACTGGCCCACCACTCCCCGACCACCTTCTTTCCCCTAGGGCCTAGGCCACGGGGCCGATCAGTGGCTCCCCCACAGAGGTGGGCCTCAAACAGGGCATATAAGTAGACGGATGTAAAGGATGGAGGAATGATGTAAATCATGGCCCCCAGTTTTATCTCCTGAGCTGCACAGATCCCCCCCCCCCTGGTCTTCCTGTGTCCTCGTGGAGCAAGGCCACTGCAGGGCAGGCAGGCCGAGGCCTCACCAAGCCGGGCAGCAGGAAGCTGCCAGGCAGGCGAGCCGGTGCCCATGGCACTCACTCCTTCCAGCTTGGCTCTGGCCTCGTTCCTTGGGACAAAAACAGGTCTGATGAGTTCCTGGGCAGCTGAGCCTTGATTTCCAGGAAAGCCACGCTCTCAAAGAGCACAGGGAGCGAGGCCTGGGAGAAGGAGGCCTCTTTCAGGACTTGCCCTTCCCAGTCTCGGGCCCTCCCATCTGTGCTCACAGAGCAAGCTCTTCCCTTGTGTCCTGAGCAGGGAAGCTCCAGGCTGAGGGGGACCCCTCTTTTCCCACCTTCCCTAGAGGGATCAAGGAGCTTAGGAGGGTGAGGGACAAGGAACAGGACCTCCTTGTTGTGACCCCAAATTCAGTCCCTGCCCCCACACCCCTCTGCTTTGGGTGGCAGTGTCAGGGAGCACTTACACATGCCGGCTTAGAACCAGGTTACCTGGTTCCACACCCAGCTCTGCCATTGAACTTGGGTGAACTCTGGGCCTCAGTTTCCCTTTCTGGACTCACAGGGATAAGATGAATCTTAGCAGACACAGACCTTAGCCTGGGGCCTGGCACATCGGATACCATCTTGTTGGCATTTCTCCACTCGGTCTTCGACCTTATCAAATCCTCCAGCTCTCAGTCCCCCCCTCTCAGCCAGCTGACTTCCCTCTCTGCCTGGTTCTCCTCTTGGTCTAAGTGCTCAGGGTTGGTTCATGGGTTCTGCTTGTCCCACTGCCTGCTCGCTCTGCATTGGCTCATACAGGTCCTGGCTCTCCACCCCGCACCAGCCACTGCTCCGTAGCACCCACCTGATTCCCAGACCTCACCACCTCACACTCGACAAGCCCCAAACCGAACTCAGCCCCATCCTCAGAGCCACTTCCCTGGTGTTCTCCACCCCAGAGCATCGTGCCATCAGTCACCAAACCTGAGTCCCCACCACACCAATCATGTCCACCCTACTTTCTGATCATGTCTTTTTTCCTTCCTCCCTCCCTTCCTTTCTTCCTTCTTTCCTTACTTCCTTTCTTCCCTCCTCTCTACCTCCTTCTCTCTCTCTCTCTCTCTCTCTCTCTCTCTCTCTCTCTCTCCCCCTCCCTCCCTCTCCCTCTCCCTCTCTCTCTCCCTCTCCCCCTTCCTTTCTATTGGGATATATAATAAATATATTAAAGGATATTAATGTATTAATTGCATGAATCTTAATGGTACAGAGTGATCATTTTTTATATATGTTTACATCTGAGTATCCATCACTCAGATTAACACATAGAGCATTCTTGGCTCCTATAAAGTTCTCTCGTGGTCCTTCCTTCCCCCAACCCCACCTCAGAAGTAACCACCTTTTAGTCTTCTAACTTTATAAATTAGTTTTGCCTTGGTTTTGAATTCCACATAAAAGGAACCAGGAAGTATGTGTTTTTAGACATGGAGATCAGTGAACTAGAAATGAGAGTCCAGAAATCAACCCATACATCTCCAAGCAATTGATTTTTGTCAAGGATGCTAAGATCATTCAATGGAGGAAAATAGTCTTACCATAAATGGTGCTGGAAGAACTGAATAAAAAATTAAGTTGGACCCCTACCTCCTACCATAAACAAAAAAATAACTCAAGATGGTTCAAAGTCCTAAATTTGAAAACTATAAAACTCTTAGAAGAAAGACCATGTGAAAAAGAAAACTATCAAAAGAATGAAAAGGCAGCTGGGTCAGTGTTCCTCAGTGGTTGAGCATTGACCTATGAACCAGGAGGTCACAGTTCAATTCCTGGTCAGGGCACAGGCCTGGGTTCAATCCCTGGTTGGGCACATGCAGATCAATGGTTCTTGCCCATCGTTGGTGTTTTCATCTCTCTCTCCCTCTCCTTTCCTTTCTGAAATAAATAAAAATATTTTTAAGTGAAAAGGCAACCCACAGAATGGGAGAAAATGTTTGCAAATCACATATCTAAAAAGTCTAGTCTCTAGAAAATATATAGACCTCTTACAACTCAGCAACAAAAAAACACAATTTAAAAATGGACGTAATTAATTTCCTTTTAATGTGCACAAATCCGTGCTCTGGGCCCCTAGTATACTAAAAAAAATGGTGAATTTTATGGTATGCTTATTAAAACATTTTATTTTTAAAAGTTTTATTAAAGTATACTCTTTTAAAACTTAAACTAAGTAAGTTCTATTTTGTGGGTCTTTTTCTGTGATGTAATATGAGAGCATGTGGTGGTGAGGATCAGTACTTTACACTTATTGCTGTGTAGTATCAATGCACGAACATATTATCGTTTATTTATCAATTTTCCCCTTGGTGGACATTTGTCTTGTTTCCAGTTTGGGACTCTTATAAACCTGTAAACTCTCATGCATGTCTTTTGAAGGATGTCTGATGGACATTTCTCGTGGTATGTACCTAGGTTTGGAACTACTGGCTCAGGACATGCATGCGTTTTAACTTCAGCAGATCCTGCCAACGCGTGTTCCAAAAACGGTTGGCCCATTTTACACTCCTGCTACCAAAATTGGAGAGTTCTGTTTGTTCCACATCCTCATCAACACGTGGCTGTGACAGTCGTTTTACTTTTAACCATGGTGGGTGTGCACCCAATGCAAGTGTTTATCTGCATTTTTTTTTTTTTTCGAGAAATGAGGCTAAACGTATTTTCAGGCCACGTAGATATCCTTTTCTGTCATTGTGAGGGCCTTGACCAGAGTATGCACGCGTGAAGGCAATGACACAGCAGTATTACTTCGTTCAAGGCCCCTCTGCCCTATGCGCGCATGAGAGCAATGACTCAGCAGCAGCCCGGTACGTACTGCGCAAGCGCACCCTACGTAACCAGCTTATGTTAATTAGCGCAGGCGCCACTGATTGGCACGAGGCCGCGTCTGTTGGAGCGTCTATATAAGCTGCCACTGACCAGCCAGTTGTAGGCTGCTTTGTTCGTGATAAAGCTCTTTCCGTCTACCTACCGTTACTCGGGGGTGTTCTTCCAATTTCCTGCACCCGGAGGGGCCTAGTCCCTGGCTGAGGAACTTGCACCCAAGTCATCTCCCTGTTCTTTGTTTGTTTGTTTTGGTTGTTACCTTTCCAATATTAATTTGTAAGATTTTTTAAAGAACGTTCTGGCTTTCAAATGTCTGTCAAAATCTATTGCTGCCAATATCTTCTCCAGCCCGGGGCCTCGCCTTGTCATGTTCTTTGTGTTTGTCTTTTGTGAACAGAAGTTCTAAATTTTTATGAAGTCCAAGTTATGCACCTTTATTTTGTTGTTGGTGCTATGTGCGTCCCGTTTAAGAACTCTTGGCTTACGTCCTTGAATTGACCCCTCCTTTCCACCTGCCTTGCCTCTCTGAAATAAGCTCAGTTTCTAGCTTCTACGTCTCCACTGGACTGGCTTCCCTCTATGTCCCCACCCCAATGGCTGTCCTCGCTGCTTGATCCTCCTGCCCAGGGACAGGACTGGCTCATCGCTGTGTCCCTGGGGCTGGCAGTGGGGCTGGCACGCACTAGATGCTCAATAAAAGCTTCATAAACGAAGGCAGTGTCCTGTGACCCAGCTGGGGATCGTTAAAACTGTCAATTAGTTCTAAACACTAGCTCATCAGGAACATCTGAGCAAAGCCGGGGAAGTAAAAAGTTTTGGAAAAACCAACAGCATAGGAATGTTTAGCTTTCTCCCCAGCAGGAGCATTAATCACAAAAACGCAGACCTTGTTAGCATTATTTATTCTTGCCTTGCACCCCACCCACAAGGCAAGGAGAGCCTTTCCTCCCGCAGGCTGGTCACAGGGGCTCCCCACCGGTTGCCCGGAACCCCAGTGTTTGCTCCCTCTCCCTACTGCTGGGGGAGGCCCACGATCTCCTCCTAGTCTTTCTCTTCGCCATGCGTGATGACATAGCATAGGTTCCTGTAGTCCAGGTTGCCACACACATCTGGCGGGAAAGCTGCAAACATCTGCTTGACCTGGGGAAGGAGCAAGGAGTCAGCCTGGGCCCAGGGCCAACTAAGGGCCAGAGCAAGGGGTCCCCCAAGCGTGTCAGTGCAGATGAAAGCGTGGCAGTGGAGGGCGCGGACGGAGGCCAGGATCCCACAACTGTCCCTCACCCCCATCCTTCTTGTTCTCGTCAAGGGAGACATCTCTAAGAGGGATCTGAGTGGGGAGGGGTGGAGTGGGGGGTGACTGCTGAGAAGGGCTGAGCTGTGCTTTCCAGGAAGACTCTTCGCAGGGCTCCACAGCACCTTAAAAAAAGCCAGAGCTCACCTCCTCCTCACTGAACCGGTCCGCCTGGGTCATGAGCTTCTCTTTGATGCTGCTCAAGGAAGAGAAAGGGTCATGTTCAGGGGAAGGGCCACCCTGTGAGTAGACACGCAGCTCGCAGGGTTGGTGAGGGCAGGTGGGCTTGGGGGAAGAGTCCTGGCCCAGGGGTACACCAATGAAGGCAGGGAAGGGGATAGGGCTGGTGCTACAGCCCCCAGATAGCCACGAGGGCTCAGACGCCACTCCAGCTGAGCCTCATTTTCTTCCTTGGTAACGCGGGCTCTCCTCCCAGCATCAAGTAGGAACCAAACGAAATGACCTTAGAATTCCGACATGACATTGAAGGGCCACTCAGATGTTCCATGGTGCACTAATCATCAACCTCGAGGTTCCTGAGGGTGGCCTCTTTGCCTTGGTTCTGGGTGTCCTGTTTCCCCGGTGTGTGATGGTTGCTGCTGTGTGTGCAATGCTCTACAGGTCCCAGGTGCTCACACTCAGCCCAGGACAGGGAGGCCTATCCAGGTGCATGCCCTCATGGGCCTGCCCGGGGTTCATCTGCTCCTTGTAGCCTTGGGAAGTGAGTGTCATTAACTCCGTTTACAGAGAGGGAAACTGAGGTTTGGGAAGTGTAGTGGCAGGGTGGGGCCTGTCCCGCTGGGTGGTCCAGAGCAGCTGCCCGCAGGAGCCAGAACTGCCTGGGCCAGAGGAGTAGCCGAGGATGAGACATAGAAGGTGTTTGAGGCTGCGCAGGAGGGACTGGTGCCCTAGGAGCTGGGGGGAGGGTGCCAGAGGGCCCTCAGGGAGAGCAGGGAACAGGGATGGCCCTGGAGAGCTGAGCTGGGCCCTGGGCACCAGTGTCCTGTGTCGCCAGCAATGGCAGGCCCCGCTAAGGGCCACGCACATTTTCCATTATTTGTGTTACTGCAGGACAGTCACAGTTTCCAATTCTCCAGGCTGCGGACTGTTCACAGACTCTGTTTCAGCCAGAACCTCCTTTTGGCCTGACTGGTGGGCAGCCACATCTTCCAGGTCCCCTATCCCCGGGCGGTGCCTTTGGTTCCCAAATTGGGTGCCCAGAGGGTTCCTCCCAGCCCTGGCCTTGCCCTGGTGGAGACGAAGGTGAATGGCAGAAGTGCCCAGAGACTCCCCCAGCTCCATGGGCCTTCAGGGAGGGGTGAAGGAGAAGCCTGCAGCCTGGGGAGATCCTAATCACCCCTCCCCTACCCCTGGGGAGTGAGTGACTCACAACGTTGGGAATGTGGGATGGTGAGAATGAGTGAGAGACAAATGAGACTGTCCCCACTTCCCCTCTGCCCCCTGCCCTCTCCCATCCCATCTCCATGAAGAGATGATTCTAACAGGCAGCAAAACTAGTCTCAAAGCCAATGCCTGAAGCATCATAGGAATCGGTCAGAAAGCCTGTGCCTGGGGAAAAATCTTGCCTGTCCAGGATCACTCAGAGACCCAGCATGGCCTTGCAGGCTCAGAACGGATGGCCCAATTCAGTGTCCCAGTCCCTGGACAGGTGGCCACTGCCCCGCCTGCCACTCTTGGCCCTCTGCTCTGAGCTTCCACTGGGCTGAGGCTCCCAGGCATAGCAGATGTCAGTGCCCACACCTCTGTAATGCCAGCCCAGAGGCCCCCCGGAGAGCTGCCCGTAGCCACTGTACTCTCTGTATGCCCAGCTGAGCTGGTCCCTTTCCATGGGCCACCTCCATCCTGACCCACTCAGGCCCTGGATCCCATTGGTTTGACCTCTGGTGTCTTACTTACCCATCCCCTCCCCTCTGTCTCAACAGCCAAGGCCTTCTCCTCTCCTCCTCCAGGCTGGCCTCCATGCTGCTCCGGCCTGGCTTCTTCCTCAAGCTCTCCTATGCTCCCGGGGCAGACCCAGGGTCCAGGGCCTGGCAATGGAGCCACCCCATACAGGCCCTGCCTCCTACTCTGTGCTCAGTCTCCCCCACCCCACACCACTCACACATCTTCCAGCTACACCCTCTCCTTCTCACTAACCTCGCACACACCAAGCCCTGGCACTGCCCTCCCTGTGTTCCTGCATCTAGAACACTCCCTGCCTGGGCTCAAGCACTATGAGTCATCCTTTGAGACCTGCCTCTCCCCCCACCTCGCCCTGCCACTGGGAAGCCCTCCCTGGTGCCTGCAGACTCCCTGCACCCTTCCACGCAGAAATGGGGGCACGCCGCCCAGAGAGGGGAGGGACATCGGTAGCTGAGCTGGGCTGCCACCCACCCGGACGCCCACGGTTCCTTCCTAGCTGAAGTGTCAGAGAGGGAAAGCCCAACGTGGAGGGCGGAGGGGACTTACAAATCCGCCTTGACGAAGCCTTTCCCCTCAGCGTCGAACACCTTGAAGGCGTGTAGAATGGTCTCCTCTGGGTCCGTGCCTGGAAGCAGCGCACACAGGCCAGGAGAGTGCCACATGAATAAGGTGACCAGACGTCCCGCTTTTGGCGGGACAGTCCCAATTTTTAACAATTTGTCCCGCGTCCTGCGGCGTTTTAAAAAAAGTCCCAATTTGCCAAAATCGATTTGGCTTGGTGGATAGAGCATCGGCCTTCGGACTGAAAGGTCCCGGGTTCGATTCCGATCAAGGGCATGTACCCTGGTTGCGGGCACATCCCAGTGGCGGGTGTGCAAGAGGCAGCTGATCGATGATTCTCTCTCATCGATGTTTCTAGCTCTCTATCACTCTCTCTGCCTCTCTGTAAAAAATCAATAAAATATATTTAAAAAAAATTTTTTTTAAAGTCCCGATTTTTGGAAAGAGTGCACGTCAAGCTAGGAAACTGCTCCATATAGACCAAGTTTTTAATCAAGAACTCCCCCCCCCCCCCCATCAGTGGTGTCTCGCTTTACCAATGTTAAAATCTGGTCACCTTACACATGAAGAGAGCAGGCAGGGTTTGGGTGGGGGCCGGGGGTGGGCAGACCCCCATGGCCCCTCCCAAGGGCAAGGGTTGGGAGCTCCCTCTCCAGCTTCCACCCCACAGTGGGAGCAGGGAAAGGGAGATTTCGGGGAAACCAGGAAGAGTGGTGAGAGCCAAGGCCTCTGTGTAGAGCGATCACCACCGGCACAGTTGTGCACGACCCTGACTGCATCCTCACTACGTGCTGAGCCTGCTGATGGGCCTGAGGCTAAAGGACTTGGCCAGGTTCTCACAGCTGATGCTGCCCTGTGATCAGTGAGCGGGGAGGGCAGCTCTGGCGCTTTCTCTTTATCCGAGATGTGTGCATGACAGGCTGTGGGTAGAGAAGAAAAAGCTCTGCACTTGGGGGCCAAAGGTGGGACTCGGGCAGTGGTGTCCGAGGTGCCGGTGAGCTTGTCCCGGACAGAGACGGGAAGCTGGGCCAGCAGGCTGTGGGGCGGGGCAGCGGGGACGCACATTCCTGGTTTTATCACTTTGCTAGCACGGGCTTTGGGGAAAAAGGTCATTTGAAGAAGAATTAGCTCTGTTCCCACAACGGGATTAAATATCTAGCCCCCTGGTTGTACAGATGGGGAAACTGAGGCACAGGAAAGGAGGGTCTCACCCAAGGCCTCACAGGCTGTGCGACTGACAGCAGGTGACCTGGTGACCCATGTGTGGCGCTCCTTCTCCTCTGTCACCTGCCCTCCCCCTCACTGCGGCCAGGGATGTCCCCTTCCTTCCCTAAAGCTTAGCTGTGTCGTTGGTGAAATGGAGAAAAAGGTGTTGCCTGGGTCAGTTATGATAACGTCAAGTAAAGATCTGGACCAGCATTACTCCTGTGTGTCCACAAACACATCTGAGCGCTCTGCGCTAGGCTCCACCCTGCAGCGCCACTGTTTGCTCCCAGGGGATCCCAGAACGCCCCGCAGGGTGGGTACTGATGTCCTCAGTTTGTCAAAAAGGAAACTGAGGATTGCAGAGTCCCCGTTACTTTCCTGAGATCCCTACTAATAAAGGGAGGAAGGATTGGAAGCCAACTCTTTGGGCCTCCAGAGCTCCCTGCTCGTTCCACCCCTTTGTGCTCCTGCCCATCAGACGGGGTCAGGGTCAGCGGTGTCTCCCTCACCAGCCTGGGAGCTCAGGACGGGATGTGTCTGGGCCATTAGGCATCTCTGAGACTGGCCCAGAGTGACCACGCCGGGCACAGTGCTGGCCCCGCAGCCACTCTGGCCTGCAGACTTTGAACCTCAACAGAAGGGTGCAGAGTGGCTACACCTTCCCCTCGCTGTTAGGAATCTCACGACAACGTGTCCTTGTCCTAATTAGAGGGACTGCCTCAGCCCAGCTCCTGTCTCCGCTGCTGGCTGAGCATGCAGGCACAACCAGTTTGCATGACATGGTCAGCGGAAGCCCAGTCCCGGCGTCCCCGGGAGAATGAGAAAAAGCTGGGAGCCCGTGACCCTGCCTGGTCTGGGGCGGAGCTCCCAGCTCAGTCAGAGACCACGCCTCCCGGGTAAGTCACTGGCTGGAGTCCCACATGCCTTTCTCTGGGAGGGTAGCCCCTGCCCCGGGGCCCGGGCTTCTGAGCTCTTCCAGGAGGTGGTCACGGTCTCAGAAATAACCCTCCTGGCTGCCTGGAGGTGGCACTTTTGAGTGAGCTGGACAGCGCTAGGCCCGCAGCCTCCTCTCTCCCCCACCTCTGGAGTCTTGTCTCTGACCCAGGAGGGTGGGGCTATCGGGTCATAGCTGCCTCCTTCGAGTCCAGAATCAGCCAGGACATTGTACTTGCCAGCAGGTCACAACCCATGAAAGTACTATGATTTTTTTTTTCTTTACCAAATAAAAGCTGTTCGTTAGGTAGGATCCTCTCTGTAGTGGGTTGAATCATGCCCTTCCCCCCCCCCCCCCCCCAAAGCTATACCCATGTCCTTATCCCCGGGACTGGGTAATGTCACCTCAGTTGGAAGAGGGGCTTTTGCAGATGTCCAGAAAGGATCTTGAGGTGGGAGATAATCCTGGATTACCCAGGTGGGCCCTAAATCTTATGACAAGTGTCCTCTTAAGAGGGAGGCCAGGGAGCCATACAGAAAAGGAGGCGGGGGACCACGAGGTCAAGCGGGGAGCGATGCAGCCTCAGAAACCGGGAAAGGCAGCTAACAAGTTGTCCTCTGGAGCCTCTGAGGGAGCAGAACCTGCAGATATCACATCCCAGGCTTCAGAGCAGAGAGAATACATTGCCAGTTTTTCAGCCGTCACGTTTGTGGTCATTTGTTACAGCAGCCCCAGGAAATCACCACAGTGCTTATCTTACAGACAAAATCCTGAGGTGCAAAGTAGACAAGCCTTGGTCATCCTGGGGGCTTGTGGGGGCTAGGCATTGAATCCAGATTTAACCGAGACAGGGTGGGCATCAGGCAGGGGCACCCTCAGGGTGGGGTGGCTACAAGGCCCACCTCCCAGGGCACACAGCTCAGGCTGGTCCTTCCCTCTGACCGTGGACCCTCAAGCCCAGGGGTTGGCACTAGGGGCAGGGGGCAGAGAGGCTGGGCTCCCACCCCGCCATGCACCCCGTGCCTGACGTTGCAATGGTGAGAGCCAGGAACAGGGTCAGGGTCCATCCCGACCACTTGGATGCTGGGACACCTGGGGCCGTTGTAATGACCTCTCTGAGCCCAAGTCTTCTCACTTATGAATGAGGCCCTCCACCCTTTCCCCGGGGAAGGAACTGTGGTCAGCTGCTAACACTTCCAACCCCACCTCCACTGTCCAGCGGGCAGTGAGGCAGAGCGAGCAAGATGAGCCCAGGGGTAGGAAGGTGGCAGAGGCATCCTGACGGTGGGCAACGGGCTTTTACACAACTTGTCCCCCGGGCTCTGTAAGGAGGCGTTACTACAGTTACCACCGCTCGGTGGTGTCGAGGTGGAAACCGAGGCCGGGCAGGGAAGCTATGTGTTTCCGGGAGTGACACCGTGCTCCCAGCTGTGGTGAGCATCAGTAGGGTGCACATCTGCACACAGGGCCCAGCCTGCCCGCATCCCCTCACCCCTCCCTGCCCAGGGCCACCCGGGGCCTCACTCACCCTTCAGCTTCTCCCCAAACATGGTCAGAAAGACCGTGAAGTTGATGGGCCCAGGGGCCTCCTTCACCATGGCCTCCAGCTCCTCGTTCTTCACGTTGATGCGGCCTGGGGAGGAGGAGAGGGAGGCGCCCAGGAGCACGGTGAGGCTGGGGGCGGGTCCTGCCTGCAGCGGCCCAGGAGAACAGAGTCCTGCAGGCTCTCAGCTCTACCATCCACCCGGCCTGACTCCCTGAGGCCCCGCCCGCTTGCTGGGGGGTTTTGGGGGGGGGGTCAGCCCCCAGCCTCAATGCATTCAGCCACCGCCGCTGCCTCCTTGGGAAGTGGAGCAAGTTATTTGTTTGCCATCCCCATTTTACAGATGAGGAAACCGAGGCTCAAAGAATCTGAAGCTGAGGCGCATATGGGGCTGGAAGACCTGGGCCTCAGGCTCATTTGTCCCTAGAGCGGGCAACTGGTTGCTAGGAAGTTGGGATTCTGGGATTCCTCTTGGTTCCAGGGGACAATCAGATCTCCAGGAGCTCAAAGCTCAGTCCAGACCTGACTTGGTTCTGCCCCCTTCCCCAACCTCAGCCTGCACCCCACCCAGTCCCTAAGGCCCTCCTTAGGTCCCTCCCTGGGCCTTAGAGGGGGCAAAAGCCTCCCTGGGAGCCAGAGCCAGTGATACCTGCACACACCTCCAGCCTCTCCCCCACCCAAGGCCTCTCTTGACCCCTCACCTCACCCCAGCCTCCCACCCCCCTGACCTTTGCACCTGAAATGCCCTCCCCCTTCTCTGGCAAGTCCTCCTCTAACAACCAGGAATCCTTCCTGACCTTCCCTGTACCCCCAGTGACACATGAGCCCCGCACACCGCCTGCCCCCCACCGCTCACTCTCTCCGGAAGGCCTGCTCTGCCCCAGCCCCAGCCTCCACACTGCTGTCACCCACCCAGGGCAGCAAAGGTGTCCCTCAGGTCCTCCTTGTCAATGAAGCCATCCCGGTTCTGGTCCATGATGGTGAAGGCCTGGCAGAGACATGGGCACTGAGAAATCTCCCTTCCCCTCCCCCAAGCCCAGCTTCCCTCCCCAAAGAACACCTCCCCCAAGGGGCTGCCCCAGCACCCTTCGTGCAGGCCCCTCTGGCCACCCGGCTCAGCATAGCGCCAGAATGTCAGCAATGGCTAACCCACACGGAGCTCCTACTGTGTGCCAGCCTGCTGCTGGGGCTTCATGCCCATCCCTCAGTCCATGTTCACAGCAACCCCCTTTTACAGAGAGGCAAGCTGAGGCTCAGAGAGCGGAAGGACCTGCTGAGGTCATACAGCGAGCAAAGGCTCAGACAGAGAGGGTCGTGCGCCATGGACCGCGGTCACATCTGCGGGCTGTGAGGCACACCGTGGGGGACATGGAGAACAGGGACACCACCGCTCCGCAGGGACGAGGGCCAAGCCCACACCTTCCTGGCTCCCCAAGTGCTGTCTATGGATTACACAGACCCTCCCAATGGCCCCAGGGGACACCCACCAACCTCTTTAAACTCCTGGATCTGGGACTGGTCAAACATGGAGAAGACATTGGAGCTGGCTCCGCCTTCTGCTCTCTTCCGCGCTCTCCTCGGTGCCTGCGAGGGGGCAGCGAAGGCCTTGCAGAAGCCCCTTCCGTGGGAGGCCAGCCATTCCCCACCTCCCAGCCCTCGTGCCTCGTCTCCCACAGCCCCGCCCAAAGCAGGCAGGCAGGCAAAGCTCCTGACGAAGCCTTGCAGGTGAGCAGGGTGGCTTCCCAGCCCATGGCCAGAAGCCCCCAGGAGCGCCCCCCGACTCCCGGGCCAGACAGCTGCCTCCTGACCTGGGCCCCGGGGCTCCGGAAGGCGGGTGGTCTGCGCCCAGCCTGTGAAGCAGAGAAGGGCATCTTCTCTAGCACCAAACCCAGATCCTCTCCTGCCACCTCCCCAGCCTTCTCAGGACAACACGTGGACTCCGCAGCCCTGGGAGATCTGTCCTTTGTCCCTCTCCCAGAGTTCCCACCTCCACTCACCCGGGTCCCCAACTCTGTCCCAAACCCGCTCAGAGCTTTCTTCTCGCCCAGCATTTCCTCCTGCCATTCCCACTGCCTGGAGTCCCTTCCCTGCCTTCCATCTGGCAGAATCCCCTTCCTCCAGGCTCAACGCCTCTGCCTCGTCCTCGGAGAAGCCCTCCTGATCCCCAGGCCAATTTAGAGCTCCCCGGTTCTTCCCTTCCTGCCAGCCTGGGGCAGCCACAGCCCCTAGAACATACCACACTGTCCTGCCATGTCACTGTGTCTGCTCATCTCTGAGGTCCCCTGTCCCACCCAGGCTCAGAGGGGGGATCAGTCTGGAAATAGCTCCCTGAAGCTCAGGGTGAACTCCCCCAGCAGGCAGAGCGGGCAACCACCCACATGGAATAACGCCAGGGCTTCCTTCAGAATGCCACGGGGCCTGGAGTCCACTATTGAGCATGCCCTGAACGCTCTGAGTCCCCAAGAACCCCTGAGAGGAGACCTTGCCCTCAGCAGCCATCACGGGGGCCCCCGAGTTCAAGGAATCCCCAAACTGGCTCAGAGAGGTGGGACAGACACACGCTCCTGCTCCCTCCCCGCCACCCCCACTCTCCTGCCGTCTCAGCCTGCACCACCCATCCCCGAGCATGGGCTTCCCGTCCCTCCACCCCCACCCCCATCCCCACCCCCAGCGCCTGTGTGGTCTCCCCTCCTCCCGCTCCCTCCTCTGTCCTACCACCCAGCTTCCCCACCCCTGCACTCGCCCCACTTCCCTCCGGCGCCTGGGCTCAATTCAGGAGCAGCGGCTGGGCTGACTTATAATTAGCTTTTACTGGGTGCTTTGTCTCCACTAATCCTTTGAAAGGGGGGCTGGCAGGGCAGCCAGGACGTTATGATGCCGTAAAACCTCTGTAATATTTATAAATCCCTTCAGACATCATAAAGAAAAGAACCTCCCTGCAGAGTTCATCTCACATAATTACATATGCATTTCCCTCTGATTAATAAAAAGGATCGCTTCCGTCTGTGGGATACTCTGCCCTTTCTCTCCTCAGACCTGCTCTTGGCCTGGGCGTCACCCATCCCTGCCTCACCCAGCCTTCCATGGCCATCTTGTGGAACATGGCTGGAGCCCCCGAAAGGAGGACTGCCTAGGGGGAAACGGAGGCTCAGGGCCTTCTGATCTCCCCGCCTGGACCTTTGCAACCCGCCTGATTTGGGAATTCCCTTTTATAACGTGCCCCTAAAAAAATAAAAATCCCCTGAGAAGACCACCTCAGGGCAGAAGGGGGTAGCCCAGATCTGAGTTCTAATCCTGCCTGTGGTATGCACAGCCTCTGTGATGTTAAGAAAAACGGTTAAGGCTCTAAGCCTCAGTTTCCCAGTGTGTGCCCAGCTCCAGGCATCAGGGCGTTTACTAGGTCCCTGCTGGTCTCCAGCCAGGCCCTGTGCCCCGACTCAGGGACCCAGAACTGAATCAGGCCCCATGCTTGTCCCCAAGGGGCCCAGAGACCAGGTACTGAGAACACAGAGCCACCGGGGCCCTCGGGGCAAACCTCCAGAGGAGGTGGCTTCTGAGCTGGAGCTTGAGAGCCGAGTCAGCCTTCTCAGGCCTAGAGGGACTGATGGGGTGGGTGAGACAAAAACAAGGGTTGAAACACAATGCCCTTGGAGCCCCCAGGGAGGCCCAAGAGCTGGAGCACAGGAACAGGAAGGACAGCGGGGCAGGCCCCACGTGGACTGAAGGACCAGCAGGCTCCAGAGGACCCAGGCTGTCCTGCAATCCCCACCGACCCCCACAGCAGGAGCAGAGCTGTGAAAAGTCTTAGCCCGGTCCACCCTGTCTCCCTCCACCTTCCTCTTCCTCAACCTCCTCTTCACCTCAGCAGCCCCTACCCAATCCAGGGAAGCACACCCACATCAGGACCCTCATGGATGGACTGGCCACCCATCAAGGGCAGCCCAGGCTGGGCGAGACGCAGGCATGACATCCAGGGTGAAGGAAAGGTCAGGGCCGGGGACATCAGCTCCAGGGCAAGGGCATCCATGAGGGGAGTAAGGTCAAGGTCAGGGTGAGTTCAGGCAATGAGGTAAAGGTCAGAATCACAAATGAAGTCAAGGTCACAGGATGGGGCCAGGGTCAGGAAGCAGGACAGCCCTAGCCTACCATGGTCTGGAGCGCTCCCTCGTGCAGCAGCAGTCCTGGGGCAGCTCGGGGAGGGCCCTTTAAATAGTGTCCCCGGTCCGGACAACAGTTTGGAAGGTGACAAAAGACAGGACGGAGGCCTCCCTGCCAGACACCTGTCTGGGACATTCAGAGTGGGTGGGACTGTGGGAGCCAGAGACCGTCCAAGCCTCCAAGCTCTCCACCCGCACTGGGCCAACAGGATCTCTGTAGCTAAGGGCCCAGGGCCCGGGAAGGGGTTCTGGGCTAAAGACACAGTACGTTGAGGCCTGGAACCAGCTGGGAAGCTGTGGCTTTGGGCCATGGACAGTCAGGAGAGCTCTCAAGGCCGGGCCAGCCGCACCAGCTGGGGACATTCCTAGCCGCATGGCTGACCGCTTAGGCTGCTGTGCCCCTCAGGGCAGGACACCATCCTCCAGAAGGCTCAGGCACCTCGGGTCAGTTCTCAGAGAGGGTTTCTGCATCCGCCTGGCCCTGTGTTTAAGTGCCGCCACCCCCACCGCAGCTCTCCTCAGGGAGTTGAAAAGAGACAAAAGAAAGATGGAGGTGACTCTGACAAGGGAGCATTGGAAAATCAGATCTCCATCCCACTCTGGCCACGAACCCATATCCGGACATGGTCCCTCTCCCGAGGCTTGGCCCAGCCTGAGAGCTCTCCAGCACATGTGCCAAGCAGAGCCTGCACCTGCTTCTGGTACCCCCTCCCCCCGAATCGTGTGTCCAGTGCAGCCCCATCTGTCCAGCCAAATTGGCCCCTGATCTGTGTGATCGGTTGCCAGGGCCGGCAGTGCTGGGCTCAGGCAGTGAGCCCACCCGTCCCCAGGCTCAGGACAGCTTAACTGTCCCCGGAGCTGGCCTCAGGCCCCCGCGCCCTGGTCAGGCTGATCTCCTTCGGGCAGGGAATGTGATGGCGATTAAAGAGTAGCTAACGTTTGTTAAACACAGAACGCCAGGCTGTGTTCTAAAACGCGCTTTCACATTCAGTCCTTACCTCGTTTTCCAGGTGGGGAAACCGAGGCACGCACAGGTGAGCAACTGGCCCAAGGCCCCTCTTTCCAGTGGTTCCAGAAAGAAGCTTCGGAAGGTTCTGCCCATCCCAGTGATCCCCTCCCAGCGCCATCCCGGACTGGCTGACTGGGGCCAACCCCTCTCACCTCCCTGAGACTGGAGATGGGACCCTCCGCCCTGAGCTGGGGCCAGGCCTTGCCATGGGCCAACCACAGGCTCCACAGCAGGCCGGGGCGAAGGGGACTGACTCTGGGGGCAGGAGCCTGGATTCCAGCCCCGGGCCCTCCCGGACCCTCTTCGGGGATGGGCTGTGTGAGCAGGACGGGTGCCTGCCTGTTCTGGGCCAACGCGGAGGGGCAGGTGGCCGCCCGGGGGGCAGAGATTTTCTGCCCCGTCCAGGAGCTTGGCCCAGGTTCTCCCGGGTCCGGGCTTGCTGAGCAGGAGAGATGGTGCCGTCCGGGGCTATACCTCCTGCTTCCTGCTGGCACCGGACCTCCTCACACAGGGACTGGATGCCCCTGAGTTCCTGCCCCCGGGGATCACGGCCCAGGACCATGGAGGGGCTCCGAGGGCCAGCCAGTCTGCGGGAAGGAGGAGGGGTGACATGCAGAGGGAATCTCAGGGAGGTGGGGCTAAGTCTCACCGTTCACAAGCTCTTGGCAAATTAGTCCTGACAGTCTCCTGCCCTGGCCTCCTTCTCCTTCGTGTTACGTGTTACGAAAGCAGGAAGAGCTGGGCGGAAGTCTGGGGGAAGTTGTAGAACCCTCTCTCCGGGGTTGGGAAACATTTGTCCCTGTGGCACAGGGGAGGGATGGGGAGGCAGGGACAACAACCCTGAGAAGGGGAAACTCTGAGTTCTGCCCTCACTGTGGGACCTTCACTCAGCAACACCAACACATGGACTCTCAGTTTCTGCATCTGATAAAAGGTGCCACAGCCAGCAGCCTGCCCCCCCCCCCCGTGCTGTGGGAAGGAGGGGGCATTGCAGGCACGGGTAGGGATGTGGAGGGCAGACCCCCCACGTGGTGGGAGCCCTTGATGAGACCTCACTGCCGCAGTCCCTCGTCAGCGGGCGGCTGCGGGGAGCCTGCTGCCATCTCCCGGTCACATTGTTTGGCTCAGCCATCTGTTGTGCCGAACTGACTGCTGGAACTGCCGATTTTTGGGGTCAGAGGGACCCCCGAGGAGTCTGTGCTCCCGGCCAGGCGCTGCTGGGAGCAAGTAGCTTGGGAACTGGAATTCTGGGTTGGCACCAGTGAGTCAGAGAAGCACTTCGTCCCCTGTGAAATGCACCCCACCTTCCAGACAGAGGGCAGCTCGAGATGCCTCGGCTGACCAAGCCCAGGAGGGAACTTGAAAGAGACCAACTGCCTTAAGAGGCAGCCCCCTCCCTGCCGGGGAACTGCGATCACTCAGAGCACCGGAGAACAGCTGCGGCAGGCAGGGGGCCTTACCTGCCAGCCCGGCTCCTGATCTCTTGCCACCTGCTCCTCCCCATCAGCAGCCTTCGGTTGCTGCCCCAGCCAGCAACCACCTTGCCCTGCACTGTTTACAAATGCTTCCCTCAGCCTCCTTCCTCAGAGCCTAGGCCCACATCGCATGCTCCCTTCTCTCCCCTCTCCCATGGGAATCCTTGTCTCCCTCTGATCTCCACAGCAGAGTGAGGACTGCCGGCCTGTCTGCTGACCGGGGGCCTCCAACCATGTGGCCTCTGAGTCCATCGGTCCTCTGAGTCCAGCCTGCTACACCCCAAGGGTCCTTTGCAGCCTCCCCAACGATGGGCCCTTGCTTGCATACCACCTTTGATGGAGAGCTCACTATTTTCCAAGCAAAATGCTCATCGATTGTCTACTGCGGCCCTATGCTAGGTGTTCTGGGGGACTAAGCACTCATCCTTGACAATGCCTCAGTTTGGGCCACGTTCGAAACCCAGTCAGAAAACGTGCGCTTTTATGCATCCATTCACCAAATACTGATTCGGTGCTTATGGAGTGCTGGGCGCTGCAGGCCCGGTGGTGAACAAAACGGTGTGGTTCTGAGCGAGGGGACCCACAGGAAAGTGCCCTCATCATGGGCTGGGGTTCAACAAACTCGGCCTTGGAGGCTGAGGCGCACACAACAGGAGCTGCCATTGCTCTGGGGGAAGAGCCGGTGAGTGTGTGAAATACCCCAGGGCACCCACAGAGCCGCTCAGATATGCAGGCACGAGGGGTGAAGGTCCGAGCCAGGTGGGAGAGAGGTGCAGAGGGATCAGGGCTGCTGGCAAGTGGCATCAATGGCCCAGGTGGGGCCCCACAGAGAGTTCCCACCTGGCTGAGAGGCCCCTCTTTTCCTGAGAGACTGCCTGCTGGGCAGATGCGTCTGGTCCTTCCGCCTCCTCCAGCCATCAAGCCCGCGGCTGTGTTTACCTCGGAGGCCGTGGCCACAGGCCCCTTGCACAGGGCGCCTCTCCCTGCCTCTGCAGCATGAGGGGCCCGCCTCTGAGGGAGCGCTCCGCCAGCCCTCTGGCCGCAGCCATAAAACAGGCAGGATGCATTCCGGGAGACATTCCTCTAGCTTTAAAGCCTTCTGCGTCTTTTCTAAATGGCTCCAAATTAGAGGAAGGCTCCAGACAGGGGCGGGCCCGGGGAGGGAGTTTGCGAAAAGACAGACCTCCCCTAATTGTCCTCAAAATCTCAGTCGTCCCATCTGGTAATTAGAGAGTTGACAGAAGGGAAAGGCAATTTCCTTTGGGGTAACAAGGAGAAGAAGGCTAATTGGCTCCAAGGCTGGGTGCTGCCTGAGATATTAACTGCAGGGTGTGGGCTGCTCTGGTCCCTGTCACTTGGGAGTGGGGGATGCCTCCACCACGGACAGGGGGCGCTATGCCAATAGGGCACACTGGATGTCTCTGGGCTCAATGCCAAAGCTATTGGTCTGGATTCTGAATGGGAAGATCAGCCTCAGGGAGCATGCATCTCTCTGGTACTAGGGCTCTGCCTCCCAGGGCTTATTTGGGGAGTCATGGGGGGAGGGAGGGCAGGAAGAGGACCTTCCCCTTAGCCTCGTGGTCGGCAAACTGCGGCTCGCAAGTCCCTTGAGTGTGGCTCTTCCACGAAATACCACGGCCAGGGAGAGTCTATTTTGAAGAAGTGGCGTTAGAAGAAGTTTACGTTTAAAAAATTTGGCTCTCAAAAGAAATTTCAATCATTGTACTGTTGATAGTTGGCTCTGTTGACTAATGAGTTTGCCAACCACTGCCTTAGCCCAATCTCTGATCTCATTAAGGAGGAAGCTACAGGTAGGTGGGAGATGGTAAGAAACAGGTATCAGAACCCAGACCTCCTGAGCCCAGGCTTCACTCCCCACTCCTGACCTCTAAGGAAGGCCTTTCCCACATAATCACATTGCCTTCCTCAGACCGGAGAGGCTGCAGAGGTGGGTAGGGTGGCCTGATGACCAGGCACAGCCAGGAGTCCAGGGGCGGAGGTGGGGGGCTCACGGTGCAGCATCGTTCCCTAGAGAGTGATGGTGTCTTGTCTTCCCAGCCACAGTAGCCACAGGGCAGGGCGGCCCTAGTACCAACTTGTGCTGAGGAGTGGCAAGGACTCATAGCAGCACAGGAGCCACCTAGGGATTGCAGTTCACAGTCAGCTCAACTCAGACATGCGCTGGAAAAGTGAATGTGTTTTTGGATTGCATTATTAGAGATCTAAGTCCTCAATCCAGGGAGGTGATAGTGCTACCTTCCACTGACCTGCATGAATAACCGAAATCTTATGCTTGGTTCTAGTACTGTGCATTAGGGGGGTGACCTTTTGGAGGACAGCAACATTGAGTCACATGAATGATGGCTGAGGGGCTGAGAGCTCTTATTTGGAGAGGAGCAACCTTGGTGAGGGGGCATAACTGCAGCAGCTGTGTCCCACCCAACTGGGAGCAGCTCTCAGCTCTGCAGCTTCCATCTTCTTCCTCCTGGTGTTTGCAGCCAGGCTCAT